GGGTGGAGACAGTGATTATCAACTTTTTCCACAAAGTTGCAGTTAACTTGAACCTTCTATTTCTATTAGAAATAAATCTTTAGAACTGCCCAGTATATACAGTGTAAAGAATGTAATGATTTCAGTACACCAAATAGATGTTAGTGCATGTCATACATTGTACGCTAGATTAATAATGTTTTATTGACATTGTAAATGCAGTGATAATATTGTATATAGCTACACTTATGATACATTTATTCAATCAAAACAAACATCTGCCATGTTTCTGCCATGTATTGTGCAAGTGTTGAGTTGTAGTACTCTTGATGCAACATGTAACATCATGGCTCATCCAGCAAGTGATATATGTACCGGTATGTGACAGATTCGATCGTGCAATCTTACCGTTGACCTTGACCAAGTTGATCTTGTAATTAGGGCAATTAACATTCAATTTGATGACATTCTGTGGATGTAACATATTGTATCTAATACTAATAGAAGATAACATAATGCTGTACACTGTGGAAGTCTATGAAGTATGTTGCTTAGTGGACTAGTCTAGTACTAGTATTTACAATGCTATATCATGCATATATATATGACTTCGCGGTTACCCAAAATATGGACTTTTTGACCTAAATTTAATCCTTTATGGAAGAAGTACAGGTAAAATAACTGTTTTTATGTAAAAGAAGACTAATGGGTGTTGCTGTGTCTGAAATATTGGAAGACAGGTCTGTTCCCATCAAAAAATACAGGTGTGTGAACTTTGGAGGATTTTTCCCCCCTAGGGGTCAAAGGTCTCGCTACCACCTGACAGATTTGTCGGGAAAAGCATATTTTGACCCGGCATATATACATAATAGAATGTCGTGGAAGTCTGGAACTCTGTGATGTGACTCAATGTAATACATATTATCAATAAATAAGATAAAATAAGATTTTCACCATTTACATACCTTTTAATCACCCTTTAAAAAGGTAATTTGTTCATTTTCTCAGTTGATTTCACAATCTGGAGGTTAACGAGGTCAGATTTTGGCAACTTCGTGGAGCCATATCTCAGGAACCGCTCAAGATATTGACCTCATTTAAAAAGCATTTCACTCACCTTGATAAGCTCTTCCAGAAGCTGTAAGAATCATCTCTGTATTATGTATTTGAAATTTTGGTTGGAATACCTACTTTAATGGCTATTTTCAGCAAAAAAAAGGCCAAAAGTGCTGTACCCGTTCCATGTTCTATCTAAAGAATGGCCGGTTCCATCCATGGAACAGGTGTTCCATTGCGGGTTACCTGAGGTCACATTGCACCTAAGTGGTGCGTAATGACCCACACATTCAATTTTATGTGCCTAAGACCTTAAAAATGTATTAAATCTCATCATTGTTAGTTTTTGCATACCTGTAATAAGATTAGTAAAGCTTTCGAGATTCAAAGTACTTGTTGTTGCATCTTTGTTCTCATATAGCTACTATTTAATTTATTTGAGAACCTTTGCCAGTTTTGCACTGGGGTAAGTTTGGAATAGTCCACTTTTGCGTGGGAGGGAGATGGACTGAAATATGCTGTATTTGCTCCCAAGCAAATGTCGGCCTTTCTAGTTTATTGTATATTCTTAGATGTTGTTTGTTATGTATAGTTGATGGTGTTAATTTTATGTGTTAGACTTAGCGTTCCAGGTTGTGTCAACATTTTCATCTGCAGCTTATACCCACGATTTTATGAAATTCTATTTGAAATGAACTCGTAATGAAACTCAGAATGACAACCGGAACCGTTGAGTCAGACGTTAAAAATAACGGGTAATCAGTATTACCACGGAGAAGGAGCTGTCTGAACTGGGAATGCGCTGGAAGGATGTTGAGAGAGAAGCCCAGAACAGAGCTGGATGGAGGGAAATCGTCGGTGGCCTATGCTCCGCACGGGGCCAAGGGCCCAGGTAAGGTAAGGTAAGTATTACCACATACAGTCCTGAGGAAGCATAGTCACTGAGATTCGAAATGTTACATGCATAAGCTTGCTAGCGCTCCTTATAGTACGTCAAATATACAATGGTTTACAAGAAGTTGTAGTAATATACGCACATATGCAAATGTTTGCATAATACCATTTGCATACTTGTGACTCGCTACCTTTACCAGATTCAATGTCCCCGTATTAACACTCCCGGGTTCGATCGAGCTCAAAAGACATGACTATGCAGCCGTGGAAAACAGCGTTTTGGCGCATATTTTTAAACAAAGAATTTATCGAAACCGGACACCCCTCTGTGCGAAGCCTAAGCAAAGTAGACTAAACCGATAATACCTTAAACACACCAAAGGTCAACGCGTGCGACCATTTTCAGGGTCAAAGGGGTGTCCGGTGGTAGCCAAAAGTCTTAATTTTCACGCACGAAAACACGTATACAATGAAAGCAAAAAAACGTGCATCATCTATAGCCCAATAGCAAAACATATACCGAGTCCAAAAAAATCCTGAAAAACGGCTGAGTTGAATCCCTTTAAAGAAATGGCAGGAGGGGGAAGAAGGAGAAATATGAGAGAAAGCAATATGTCTATGGTGAAGCCATAACTAGCAGAAAAGGACTTACACTTAATTAAGTCTTGAGAGCATTGGACTCACCTAAAACAAGGTTTGTCAGGTACATGCTAACAAATCAACAATTTCTACTAGCTGATTCTGATCTCGGTGTCAACATCTGATCTGTTTTCTTTAAATCAGAACTTCATACTTACTACATTATGGAAAATTTGATAGGCATTTCATGCCTGTACACAAGGATATAAGTTAATTCTAATATCATCATACAAGCACTATGTAAAAATGCATTTGAGTGGAGCAACAACAGGTAACTGTTACATGCCCGTAGCCAGAATTTTGAATGGAGGGTTTCTTCCCAGTGCGTGAGGGACCAGCGAGCGCTGTAGGCGCGAGGCGACCGGCGAAGGCGCGAGGTTCCTATAGGGGGGGTCCGGGGGCATGCTCCCCCGGAAAATTAATTTCTGAAATGGCATTTCCTGTGTTTTTGAGAGGATTTCAAAGACAAAAATCAGAGATAACTATTTTATTCAATGACAAAGTAGGCAGTTTTTATACAATTCCAGCCCCTCTGGTGAAAAGGGAAATCTTGGACCTTTAGATAAAAAGTGGACCAAAAAGTGGACCTTTGAGCTACGTGCATGTGTTATTATGAGTTAATCAGAATCTAAAACACCTGGCCAGGTTGTACGACTATTTCTGATGTGTTTGGTGTGACCTGGTAGTGCCTTAGACTAGCGAGCGGCACTCCTACATGTCACTGGTGCAATCATACAAGTCTCTGTGCATTTTGCTAACTTACATGTTATATACCTCTGCTGAAGAGACTGACCTTTTAAGTTGATATCTTCAGTTGACACTCGAGCTCTCTCACCAGGTGGATCTTTCTGTCGTGCTTGTAGGGCGTGTGCTCCAAATGGCTGTTCTGTAGTTATGACTAAGTACTGAGTCAGCTTTACTCATAGGTGAGTTGATTGTCTGAGAGTTACTATATAAATATTCACATTATGCATGTTGTTTACTCCATCTTGCGTTTTACTACCATTTTTGGTTGCGCAAACTTCTGAGCTCTTCGTGCTTGATTGTCTGAGTATACGTTATTATATGAATATTCACATTTCATGTGTTGTTTACTACCCCCAGTTCTTCCATTTTGCTGTACTACACGGTCATTTTACCAACTCTACAGCTGATTTAGAGTTCTTTAGACCTGTAACACGTATTGAGTTGGATAGTAGAGATTAATAGCTTTGACAAATTGAGCTTTATTCCAACACACAATTGTACAAGGATCAAATTTTCAGCGTTTTCACCAAAAATGTAATTTTCCATAATTCGACCGTAAACTGGTAACCTTGCGTTAGGCAAGGTTACCAGTTTACGTGCAGGACCAGTTTACGGTCAGTTAGTGACACGACTGCACTTCGAGGTGTACCATCCAAAAATCAACGGTCGTGAGCAACAAAGAATAACATGATTATGATCCTTATATGTGTCTTTTACGATAAGAATTTTGGACCTTGCCCTGTGCTATTCACCTACAGAATATCATCAACTAATATATCTGATGAAGAATAGAAGATGAACACCATTCTGTAGTACAGTGTAATTTATACGACAAAGAGATAGTTACGTTACTTATCATATACTTAATAAGTATAATACAGACAAGTATAATGTTCATAAGTGATACCTATGCTCTCGAATGAAGACTGCAAGAAAGAAAATAATACAAATAGAGAAATGAATATACAAAACAGCATTATTGACATTGAATATAGAAACATCAAAATATGGATATCGCAAAGTCGAAAATAAAATATTCTTGTCGATGTTTCATGTTCCTGAGTAGTACTAGTATATGACAAAGAAATAAACAAAACGCTACAGGGTTTTGCCGCAATACTAACAGTAATTTGCTGTACTGGAGGATTCCTGAGATATAAAGTGACCACATGATATTTCTGGGCAGCAATTAAAGACCTATCTAGGGCCGTGTTCATGTGAAGTCAGTGAAGGCGCTTTACATGTGGTTTACCCCGAAGCCGGTTTCAAGTGGCTCCATCTGAACGCTCCAAAACACATTGAAAGCGCCTCGATCCCAAACGACTTCTAGAGGTGGTTTCGAATCGGTTTTCCCGCATCGCGATTTGCGTCTGAACGCAATGTGATTTCAAGGTAACTTCGCCTGGTCATGGATTACGGGGTGATATTTCTTTATTTATATGCAATACCAACTTTTACGTGGCAGCAACTTAAAGAGCAGTAATGGTCAAATAATGTGTCCGTTCTAGGGCGAGCTTCAGCGCCTCTGGCGGGACCACGTCGGCATTCGGCCGAGATACGCTGGGAGGGGGGCATCAGCAAGCAGGTCGTTGACCTCTGACATTAATAACTCGCCACCTTGCGTCTTTTCATCAAATAACAATAAATGTAGCTCAAGCGAATTGTGATCGGACACGGTTTCACAGGAATGTGTGGCACGTGGACCAGATGTGAGGAATGTGAGTTACCCGAATCGCGGTTTGGGTGACTTCACATAAACACGGCCTAGAACTCCATCGGGTCTCTGACATCGGATCTGATACTGGACACCAGCCCAACATGCTGCACCAGATTCGGCTCCACCTTGTACCGGGTTAATCCTTTGTCGATGGCGAAATCCGACAGAGCGAAGTCCAGTGGGTATCTCTCATCACACGTGCCAGACTTCAGAAAGTCGGCTATCTCCGCCGCCATGTTTCCCGGGTAGAGAACGGCAGGTGTACAACAGAAGGGCCCGGTCGTGACCGTGTACAGCTGTGCCGACAGTCTACGGAACTGCAGGAAGTATTGCCTACCAACTGTCCAACACAACAATACCACATAAACAAACCCAAGAACGAACATTACAAATCTTCTGTGTGTCTTTAATCCTCTTCTTTGCGATGCAAGAAGGAAAGCAGTACCACCCAGAAGCCCAACTCCTGTGAGTTCTAGAAAAGACACGATGTCGCTCCCATAACCTTGCCATCTTTCTATGTTGTACAACTTCAGAAAGGCCCAGTCATCGCTGCTGTGTACAAGCTCCCCCTGGTGTATTCTCAGTTTCAGTCGGTACTGCAGCTTGTGTCGTAGGACGTGGAGCATGTCGGGAGTCGGAAGTGCGTCATCTTCCACCATTAACACGTACTCTGGGTTCAGCTCCACACTCTTTTCCAGACAAAAAGTATAATCTAGCTTTTCTCTCTCAAAGGGATCCTCTTCATTTGGCTGTTCCTGTTTGAGTGGGAAATAATGTGAATCTAATGTTACATTAAAGAATCTTCTGCCGAGAAGGTTATGTTTTCGAAGCCATTTTCCTGCCAGTGTGCCTATTGACAGCATAACTCCAGCATGGATCTGTATCATATTCGGCGTATCATGTCGGCAAACAAATGACAAGTTCAATTATGGAACCCCTGTCAGCTTTCTAAGGAACTGCAACAGTAGTTCCGATTTTCATATCTCGTGTTTTGGACGTGCTAGAGCCATGATATATAGTTCTTGGTCTAAGAAGTGGTGTAGGTTTGTGTCCCTAACAGCTGTTTAGGAACTGCAGGAATCGTATTCGTTTGCGACTTTAGAAGATGAAAAATCCAGATTGTCATGAATAGACCCCTTTCCAAATACCGGCGCCATTTAAAAATCCGCTCTCGCGAGAGCGCGATCGGGCGCGAGCGCGCGAGATCTAAACGCAAGCGGTAAGAAACTTCGCTTGCCGTGCGCTAACAATGGCATCTATTTGGAAAGGGGTCTATTCTAACGACAGAAACGCAGGGCTGAATCCAGACTGACAGAACTTACCTCGTCACTCTCCCGGTGCACGACGGGAACGTACTTGGACAGGAAGACTGCCTCGTGGTGAGTTTCCGGCGGGAAGTGGACATTACACACCTGTGACGTCAACATGGTTTGTGGTCAATTTCAGTAGCTGTTCTCAGACTGATTTAATTGTGCTTTCTACGAGCAAGGAGGTTCAATTTTCTTTGGTGGGAGGGGGGCCATTGAATGAATGAATGAAATAAATATATATTTTTGATGCGTCTAGACAAACCCTGTATCACAAACATGATCTGTTCCCACTTTTTCCATTGTACAAAAAAGCGAGAAGTTGACCACTGTCTTAGCTCAGTAACTAGAACACTTTGTATTGGCCTAGTATAGTACCCTTGTATGTTCCTTATGAATGTATGTCTAAGTCAAGTTGTGTATCTTTTGTCTCCAATTTTCTACATACGTCTGTAATGTGTATGTTAAGTCTTGACCTGTACCTAGCCCGTCGTGGCATGAATGCACAATAAAGGTATTCCATTTCATTTCATAAACAACAGGAAACCTTCGTGGCGCACCTGGAACATAATGTTGTCTCCCTCATGTTCGAGCAGCTGAACGAACTGTGTCACTACCTGCGTCAGGTACCGGGGTTCAGCTAAACCGTTGTGTGGTTGCCTGGCAACTGTTACCACGGTGATGACTAGCTGTGGTTGGGTCCGCTTCTGTGCCATTCGATTGAGTCGTCTGAAGACCCTGTGATGCGGTCCGTGTTTCCTCAGATAATCCTCCGCGACTGCTATTCTTTGCTGGTTTTCTTCTGCCAAGTATGGAATATGCATTATTGTCATATTAAAGGCATCCAATGCGATTTCAGGGCAGCAAAACTGGAAATATTATGAATAAGGCAATCTTTGTGATATTGACACATACTGCTTCACATTAGCACATTTAAATCAACATTTCATACCTTTGGCATTTAAAACTGCAGAAACAAGCGCCAATATGAGTTCTTTATTTTCTGGGCGGTACCCTAAAAATCAATCCAGGGCCCTTCCAGTAACCACTTTCCGTCAGAAATTTGGGCATTTTTGCTCCATGGGGGTCAAATTGGGATAGTGTGGTTTTAACTCAGTAAGTAGATAAGTGACTAGAATATTGACTTTGAAAAATCTGGTTTGCAAGCCGTAAAAACTGCATTTGATGCCTTTAATGTGGATGCATTAGATTATATATTGTGACAATAGTAGAAGAGTTAAGTAAACTTGACCTTTTAGTTTCATTCGACAAAGTTTGGACCTTGCATATACAACCAGACTTTCTACATCTTGGCATTACAACCAACCCCAATCAGAGACGGGGTGCGCCACAAACTTTCTGCAACTTATGAATGCTAGCAACTGCTCACTGAGTCACATGTGACGTCACAGAATGGGTGGATTGCTCATTCCTCGACAAAGACTCAGAAATTTGGGTAAGTCTAATTTCTTGTATTAGAAATTAAAGTTCAACCTTGTTTCATGATAAATAGTATATTCAAATAAAACTTGGGCAAAATTCTGTTCTGGGAAATATTTTCAGTTTGGTGGTGAAGTACTATGATATTTGCCTAACCGGCTTTAATTAGAATTATGGAAAATGGTGGTCAGTTTGGATTTTCCTTCATACAAAGAAGGTTAGGCCACAACAAGTAAATTTTATGGATGACATCCTCCTTAGACTCCAAATCTAATGCGAGCAGGCGAAAAAAACAAGGCGGGCCGAAAAAAACAAGGTTCCTACATTGTAAACTTTTGACTCAATCATTGTACAAATGGTTTTCATTCAGTGGAAACATCACATATACACAGCCAGAGTCACATATCACTGCATCAAAGTAAGAAACAAAACATTAAATCAGAGCCTTTTCTTGTCTCGTCTCTTCATAGTTATCTGCCATCCACCTTCCGGCATGGCAAAATACATCTTTGCCCATTTTCGGCATGATAATGTCAGAAGACAACAAAATTTTTTCTTTTTTTTCCAAAATCAGGCGAAAATTATTGCGCGCGCTGATGTCATCCATAAATATTACTTGCTGTGGCTTTAGCAATCAATGTTGAGTCACCGATAGCCCGGTCCAGCTGTGTTCTCCTGCCCGGGGTGACGTCATACCGGAAGTACATGGAGTAGGGCAGGTCGCTGCACAGGAGCGGAAGTGCTATGACGTAAGTAATGACGTACAGAGCTGTGATTCGGTAGTACATAGTCCTCCAACTGGACGATTCGAATTCCTGGATGCTGAGATCTTATGCTACTTTTCTGTGGGAATAGAAGAAGAAAGACTCGTTTGTCACTTTTTTTTCATTCGCAATTCACCAGTTTCCCATCCCCAGAATGCAATGCGAAAAAGGGAGTAACCCTCATTTGCATAGGACTGGAAGGCATCGGAATAATCCTGTTGATGTTAAACAGCTTGTTTTTCAGTGTGTTTTGAGGTGTTGGGGCATTTCATGCTCAACATTAATTTAGTTACCATGGGCCGAATCTGACAAAAAATAGAGAATGAGGTTTTAGTGTTCTTTTCAACATGAAACATGTGGTTTGTAACGTTACAGCATCAGTATAGCGTTACCACTATAACGTTACAAACCACATATTCAAAAAAATTCATTCTCTATTTGTTTTCAGATTCAACCCATAGTAATTTAATCAATGTTAAGCATAAAATGCCCCAACACCTCAAACCACAGTGAAAAGCAAGCTGTTTAACGTCAACAGGATCATTCCGATGCCTTCCAGTCCTATGCAAATGAGGGTTACCCCCCTATTTTCGCATTGCATTCTGGGGATGGGGAACTGGTGAAACAACACAAGAGCAAATTTTAAAACTAGAGTTGGGAGACCGTACACCAAGTGACATAATTACAGTGTGAAATTTTTAAATTATGTTATTTCGATTTGTCTCATTGGTTATGGAACTAAGGTTGTTATCAGCATGACCTATTTTAATTTATGCGCAAAATTGGGAATTTTCGAGCCAGCGAGAATGACGATGTTGTAAAAATGCAGTACCATGAAGCCCGCTAGGGGGCTAAATATCGAATTACATCTTTATGTCCGTATACACATTTTACCAAATATCATCACCCATTTTAGGTTAAAAACTAATACACACGTACACATACATACACAAACACATACACGCAAATACACACATACACCGTGACAAACACACACAAGCGGATACACAAACACACTCACGAAAATACACATACAAAAACTGACCAGCATTCCTCTTGGTTACCATTTATGGTACCAGACAACCAACCATCCACAACGATTCCAGCTACATAATATCGGACACTTCGCCTTTCTTTTCAACTTTATTCTAGTATATAAGCCCAAACAGCACTGTTATCGTTCAAGCAAAGGTGCCATTAAACAAGGTGTCATACTGTCTGCATAGCCTGTCATGTCTGCCGTCCTGGCTATTTTAGACACGTTCACACTCAGAGTCACTCAGCAAGCCTGCAGCGAGCTTTGAGGGCTGCATCATCTTCCCATGTCAATCGCTACGGTAGTGATTCCTAGTACTTACATGAATGCTAGCAAAAACGGCACTGTCTGCCGCTCCTCCCACATCTGCTTGGAGAATCCTGGCGGCTCGGCGTACAGCTGAAGACATAAAGTTAGACGAACCCTTCTGTTCACTAATTGTTCCTAAATTCCTCCAGATCAGCCAGAGAAATGACTGCTACCGTCGCCAATACTACATCACTACTAATGTTAGCACAACTAAGCTTGTTTCTGACCTAGGGTGGGACACTTCAGAACAGAAGGACAGTCAGTAGATTAACTATTTTACACAAAGCCAGACAAAATAAATTTGCCTTACCGGTTGCAACTCAGCTTTCGTCCGCACCGCGCAAATCGCGGCACGCAAACCCGAGTTTGACCCCAACCGAGGGGTGTTATGCAGTACAGTATCAAGATCAAGATCAGTCTGTCTGTGTGTTTTCCTCGCCAGCTCACCAGACTGACACACACGGCAGCTCAGGTGAGCTTCAAGCGTTACTTCCGGGGTTATGTAAAGGTTAAAGGTCAACAGTCGCCAACAATGCATGCTCGGTGAGCTCACCTGTCACCGCACGGATTAGGCCACAGCAAGTAAATTGGATGACATCCTCCGCATATTTCAAATCTAATGCGAGCGGGCGACGAAAACAAGCCGGGCCGAAAAAAAACAAGGGCTTAGGTTCCTACATTTTAAATTTTTTACTCAATCATTGTACACACATGATTTTTATTCAGTGGGAACATCACATAGGCTAACAGTACAACATTATCTATGACAACAATCAACGTTAGTATTTTTCACACTAAAAGTCTCGAAACCTTAACGTTACGCATGTATATTCATATGTATACGACAGAAGTGACAGGAGCTCGAGCTCATGTACAGCAAATTGTACGACGAATTTGGCTTTTATTTAGTATACCCGTCATTTAGTCGAGAATGCTGTCCTCTGAATGACTGGACAAATTTGGACGTCCAGCAAAAGACAAAGCGGAGCAACGCCAATAATTATCAGTACGTTCCATTGAAATAACCTTTATTACTAGATCAACTTTTCTTTGTCCAGGTGCAACGAAGGAGTCCTTTTATACTCTCCAAGCAGAGGTTTGGAGTTATTTTTGGCGTGTTTTAGGCTTTTTTATCGGGGTTTCCCTTTTGCACTGGATTTTTTTTTCTCACCCAACAATTTTCTTGCATTCCTTACGTCCCTCTGAGGTGTTAGAAGTGCAAGAAAAATACTCCCGACCTTTAAAAAAAATCCGCACATTATACGTATAATGTAATTTTGGACGGTTTTTTGGTTGGGTGAGAAAAAAATTCCAGTGCAAATGAGAAATCCCGATAAAAAAGCCTAAAAACACGCCAAAAATAACCCCAAACCCAAACTCTGCTTGGAGAGTAGTTCTTTTATCGGTATGATATCACTGTACCGAAGTACTACTCTCCAAGCAGAGGTTTGGGATTGGGGTTATTT